GTGACTTGTGAGTTATCACCAGTTGCTGGATCATTTTTTACCTTTCTTCATGGGATGTGGGTTTTGCTGGTAACATTTATTACCCATCCCTAATTGCCCTGGAGAAGGTGTTAGTGAACTGCCTTGAACCACTGCAGTTCTTGGGATGTAGAGGGAGGGAGTTCCAGGATTTTGATCCAGTGTCAGTGAAGGAATACCAATACAGTTCCAAGTTAGGACGGTGTATGGCTTGGAGTGGAACCTACAGATGGTGGGGGTGTACTTATGCACTTACAGCTGTGCATCTTGCAGACAGAGCATGCCACTACTCCAGGCAAGTGGGGAGTATTCCATCACACTCATGACTTGTGCCTTGTGGATTGTGGACAGGCTTTGGGGAGTCAAGAGGTGAGTTACTTGCCATAGAATTCTTAGCCTCTAAACTGCTGTTGTAACCAGAGCATTTATATACTCTGGTCATGCACCACACAAATGGCAGACTATGACAATCATCAAAAAGAGACAATCTAACCACTACCCCTTGGCATTCAATGGTGCTACCATCAGTGAATGCCCCACCGTCAACATCCTGAAAGGTTATCATTGACCAGAAACTCAACTGGAATCACCACATAAACACAGTGGCTACAAGAGCAAGTCAGAGGCTAGGAATACTGCAGTGAGTAACTCATCTCCTGACTCCTCAAAGCCTGTTCACCATCTACAAGGCCCAAGTCAGGAATGTGATGGAATACTCCCCACTTGCCTGGATGAGTGCAGCCCCAACAACACTCAAGAAGTTTGACACCATCCAGGACAAAGCAGCCCACTTGATTGGCACCACATCCACAAGCATCCACTCCATCCACCACCGATGCTCAGTAGCAGCAGTGTGTACTATTTACAAGATGCATTGCAGAAATTCACCAGAGGTCCTCAGACAGCACCTTCCAAACCCACGGCCACTTCCATCTAGAAGGACAAGGACAGCAGATACATGGGAACACCATCACTTTCAAGTTCCTCTCCAAGCCACTCATCATCTGGACTCGGAAATATATCACTGTTTCTTTACTGTTGCTGGGTTAAAATCCTGGAATCTCCTCCCTAAGGGCATTGTGGGTCAACCCACAGCACATGGACTGCAGCAGTTCAAGAAGGCAGCTCACCCTGCCTTCTCAAGGGCTTCTCAAGGGCAACTAGGGATGGGCAATAAATGCTGACCAGCCAGCAACGCCCACATCCCACAAATGAATAAACTAAAAAAAAATCCAGTCTAATTCAACTTCTGTTAACAGTAACATCTAGAATGTGGATTCAGTTATAGAAATGCTATCAATTGTCAAGGGAGACTGGATAAATTATCTATTGTTGGAGATAATCATTACCTGGCAATTGTGTGGTGAATGTTATTTGCAACTTACTATCCCAAGACTGTGTGTCGTCCAGTTATGGCTGCATACAGGCATTGACTGCTCATATCTGAGGAGTTGTGAATACAGCTGAATATTGTATAATCAGGAAAAAGCCAGGGAACTAAAGACTAGTGAATCTGACATCAGTAGTGGGTAAGTTGTTGGAGGGGATTCTGAGAGACACAATTTACATGTATTTGGAGAGGCAAGGACTGATTAGGGATATTTGGCATGGCTTTGTGTGTGAGAAATCATGTCTCACAAAATTGACTGAGTTTTTTGAGGACATGACGAAGAGGATAGATGAGGGCAGGATGGTAGACATTGTTTACATGGACATTAGCAAGGCTTTTGACCAGATCACATGGAGGATTGGCTGCTAAAGTTAGATCACATGGGATTCAGAGCGAGCTAGCCAATTGGATTCAACATTGGATTGACGGTAGGAGACACAAGGTGGTGGTAGAGAGTTGTTTTTGGAATGGAGGGCTGTGACCAGCAGTGTTCCACAGGGACACTTGTTTGTAATTTTATTTAAATGATTTGGATGAGAATATAGGAAGCATGGTTAGTAAGTTTGTGGATGACACCAAAATAGCAAACATTGAAGAAGATTATCTAAGAGTACAATGGGCCCAATAGGCCGAGGAGTGGCGGATGGAGCTAAATCTAGATAAATGCAAGGCGTTTCATTTTGGTAAGACAAACCAGGGCAGGACTTACACAGTTAATGGTATGGCCCTGGGGAGTGTTGCTGAACAGAGTGCCCTAGGGATTCAGGTACATAATTCCATGAAGGTGGTGTCACAGGTAGACAGTGTGGTGAAGAAGGTGATAACACAGTATGGAGCTGGAAGAACACAGCAGGCCAGGCAGCATCAGAGGAGCAGGAAAGTTGACGTTTCGGGTCGGGACCCTTCTTCAGAAATGGGGAAGGGGAAAGGGAGCTGGGAAATAAATAGAGAGAGGAGGGGTGGGGCTGGGTAAGGTAGGTGGGATGGTGATAGGTGAGTGTAGGCAGTGGTGGGGATTGAGGTGGGAGGAGTAGATAGGTGGGAGATTCTACCTATCTTCCCCAGCCCCAACCCTCCTCTCTATTTATTTCAGAGCTCCCTTCCCCCTCCCCCATTTCTGAAGAAGGGTCCCAACCCGAAACATCAGCTTCCCTGCTCCTCTGATGCTGCCTCCAGCTCCGCACTGTGTTATCTTTGACTCCAGCATCTGCAGTTCTTACTGTCTCTCGTGGTGAAGAAGGTGTTTGGCACGTTTGTCTTCATTGCTCAGACCATTGAGTATAGGAGTTGGGATGTCATTGTTGCAGATGTACAGGACATTGGTGAGGCCACCTCATTGGAGTACTGTGTACAGTTCTGGTTGCCCTGCTGTAGGGAGGATGCTCTTAAATCAGAAAGACTGCAGAAAAGATTTACAAGGATGTTACTGAGACTTGAGGGTATGAGTTATAAACAGGCTGGGACCTTTTTCACTGGAGCATAGGACATTGAGGGGCAACCTTGTATAGGTTTATGAAATCATGAGGCACATAGACAAGATGAATAGCAAATGTCTTTTCCTTAGGGTAGGGAAATAATTAAGAATAATTAGCTGGTGTTACAAAGATATTTCACATTTAATTTTGCTTGGAGGACTAAGTTTTGAAGGATTCAGGAAGGTTTGATTTATTTCAAGTTTTGTGGTAACACCTGAAGGGGTTTCTTTAAAAATGGTTGTTGTAAGTTCACTGTGGACACTGGAGATTCTGTACTTTGCATGACTGGTAATAACTGGATAGTTTGCTATTGACTTCCTAGGGGTGTTTATTAATATCAACTGACAAGAGAGATTATGTACTCCTACAGCCTCAGTCATAACACAGGGAAAACATCAATAAGATAAGAATGAATACTTGATTTTAATTTATCTAGACCAGACTCATTGTTACAGCAAAGCAACCAGTTATGAGGACAGTTAAGAGCCAACCATGTTACTGTGGATCTGTCGCTTCGTGTAGATCAGGCCAGTTAAGGATGGCAAATTTTCCGTCTCTAAAAGACTGTAGTGAAACAGGCAGGTTTTTACAATTGCCAATAGTTTCCTGATTAACATTAGACTAACATTTTTTTAAATCCACTTTTATTAATTGAATTCAATTTCACCATCTCTCCTGGTGGGATTTGAACTCATCTTCAAAGCACATGAATAAAGGCAAAATACCGCTGATGCTAGAAACCCAATATAAAAACAGAAAGCACAGAAACTCAGTTAGTATTTCGAGTCCAATATGACTGTTTATATTGTTCTGAACTCTGAAGAAGAGTGATTTGGACTTAAAACATGAAACTCTTCCTGTCTTCACAAATACCTCCAGACCTGCTGAGTTTCTCCAGCATTTTCTGTTTTTCTTTCTCCAGAGTATTAGTGTAGGTCTCTACACTGCCTTCTCTAATTAATAAAACATTTGGCATCATGGGTGTAACACAAAGGCACTGAGTACAAAAGCAAGGAAATTATATTACAACTGGTTAAAACACTGATTGATCTCAACTGTTGCATTGCGTCCACTTTGGGGCACTACCTTTCAGTGATGATGTGAAGCCATTAGAGTGGGTGCTGAAATAATTCACAAGAATAGTTCCAGATATAAGGAACTTCAGTTAATTAAAAATGTTGGAGAAGTTGGGACTGTTTTTCTTTGCAGAAGGTTGACAGTTTTGATAGAGGTTTTCCAAGTTACGAAGGTTTGGACAGGGCAGGTCGGGAACAAAGGATGAAGAACCAAAGGATACAAATTTAAGATAATTGGCAAATGAAGCAATGATAACATAAGGAAAACTTTTACACACATTAAGAGGTTGGAATCTGGTAGCCACTTGGCCCAATGGTACTCCTTTTATGCCTAAGGTACAAAGTTGTGGGTTCAAACATCCCTCTAGTGATGCAAGTACATAATTCAAGCTGATACTTCATTGCAATACTGAGGGCTTGCAGATGGATGGCAGGCACCACTTTTGGAAGAGATGTTAAACTGAAATCTCAACTTTCTCAAGTGGACATACAAGATCATACGTCACTAACTGAAGAAAAGCATGACAGCTTCTGCCAATGTCCTGGTCAATATTCTTTAATCAACATCAGTTCAAAGCAGAGACCTGGTCACTATGACTTTGTGTGAGTTTGCTGCAGGCAATTTGGTTGACATGTTTCTCTACATTCCAACAGTGCCTTCATATCAAAAGTAAAGCTGTAAAGTACTTTGGTATGTGCCGAGGTTGTGAAAACTGTTGCACAGATAGGAATTCTGAAGAAGGATCCCTGAATTTGAAACATTAACTCTGCTTTCCCCCCCACAGATGCTGCCAGTCCTGTTAGGTTTCTCCAGCAATGGCTGATTTTGTTTCAGATCTTCAGCATCTGCAGTTCTTTATATTATTTTAGCACATAGGAGAATTTTCCTTTTTTGGCATCCTCTCAGATAGGCTGCAGATTGCAAATTTCTTCAGAAAGAATTATTTATTTTTGAAATCCTGCACAAGAGAATTAGAAAATAAGATGGTGTGCTGAGACAGTGAAGATACAGGAAGGATGAAATGCACCTTAAGAAACAGATTGGAAACAATCATATTTTAATTTGTTTCTGAAATTCAGTAGAAATTGTACATTAGTATTTTTTAATGAAGACAAGAGAACAATGGGCAAAGCTTTCAGTTATAAACACTGATGAGTTTGACATTCTGTAAGGTCATAAACAATTACTATAATAACATTTAACTAGAAAAAACATTCAACAACTGTAGAAAATTAAAACATGGGTTTGAGCAGGTCTTTTCACTAATGAAGACAGATCATTCACCATCATATCAATCATGAAAAGTATGGTTTCTTGCTGAACAGATCTCATCAACTCCTTTGTCCTGACAGGTTATAGAACTGTATTTCCTAAGGAATGAAAGAAATCATTAACATGCTGGGTCCATTAAGAACGTAAAACTTTAGGAACAGGAAAAAGCCATTAGTACTATAAGCCCATCCTTTTTTAGCTGCTGTTATATCTTATTTCCCTACATCAGATCTGATAGCTTGGGTATCTGACAGCCAGCAGAACATAAGGCTGACCACTTAATCTCATTTGACTGTTGATCTAGAAGACCCAGCATGATTGCAGTGAATACCAAGGAAATCAGTGTGCTGAACCTTCTGCCCAAAACTAGGAAAGGATTGACAGGAGGCTGTCCTGTTGTAATGGCAGCAGGCAAGCTGCAAACACCCTGAAAAATGACACAAACACCAAGGAATGGGTATGTAGATAATGCTATGCAGGACCTTAATCCTGCTGTAGTCTGTAGTACAAAAGGATTTTGCAATAAATCAATCTAGCTCTTCGTCCATCATGACCTTCATTTCCTGGTCCTTCCAGAAACTTAGTTAATTCCCTCTTTCTATTTCAGTGATCTTCATTGAACTTTTTTAGAACTGAATCACCCGTCAAATACAATTATTCCTATTCTTGATTTCTGTTTACTAGTATATGACAGTGAAAATATAAGCCTGATGGAAAGTCAACAGCTTGTACAACAAAAACTCACTGGTTAGAATTACCCTCACTGCAGGGAGGGATTTCCTCTGAGGGGTGTGAACAAAGACAGGAAGCCCATTCTGTACAGTGATGTAATACTATATAATGATTTTGTTGTATGTTGTAAAGCAATCTCCTCACCTCCTATGTTGAAAGTATACTGAAACTCTGCCTGAACAGGGGATTTGGGTTAAACAAGTGAACTGTAAAAGCTGATAATTCACAGTTTATTACAGATGGTAAAATGTGTTGCTTGGTTTTAACTTTGTGGTGGAGTAGGTCTTGAAAACTAGAAATATCAAATCAAAATGAAGTAAACCATTTTTAAAAACCTGTGCTAAAAAGCGAAAACAAAAAGCCCCTAAAACTGCAAAACTAGTCATTCAGCAACTGAAAGAGAAATATTTATTTTGATCTTTCAGGCAGCATGAAATGGCCTGCGGTATCATGCACACTGACAGAAGAAGCTTGAAAATGCCACCACTGCTTTCAGACCTATATTTACACAGAGCCCCTTGAACAATAATAATAATAGTCAATGTTATAAACTGAAGGCTAAAACCCAGCATCTGTTGATCTGTGTGGGGATGTGTCTCGTTGAAAGCTCTAAGCAATTTACTTAAATAATTTAATTTCCCTCTGCAGGAAGCAGACAATTAACTCTTGTGATCACAGTTCTGGTTTTCAATTGAAGTTGGAAGATTTCCTCTATGCAGCGTGGTTAATTAAATTGTGAAACTCTCCTTTCATAGAAGGGTTTACTAGTTGATTATACAGAGAGCACAGGGAGATATTCACATTCACAGCTTGTAATACATATTAAGAATCAACTCTTGTCAGGGATTTTAGAGCAAATTAGTAGATGCAAAACCATGGCCCTCAATCCCATCTCCTCCCCAACTGTTTTTGACTTATGTTAATGCCAGACCACCCCCCGGCCTGCAAGAAAATCAATCGATGTGCTAACTTTAAACCATCTTCATGAACATCAGGAAGAGGGTGTGCGTTGCTGCTTTTTACAACATAACCTAATGGGGTAATGATGGTAAGCAATATTGCTCATCAATATATGGCCCTGGCGGCTAAGGGCTCCTCCTGTGATGAAATAAAACAAAGAACTGCAGATGCCAGAAATCTGAAACAAAAACTGCTGGAGAAATTCAGCAGGTCTGGCAGCAACTGTGGAGAGAAAACAAACTTAACACTTTGAGTTCAGTGACCCTTCTTCAGAACTCAAGTAACTCTGTTTGTTCTCCACAGATGCTGCCTGACCTGCTGAGTTTTTCTAGCAAATTCTATTTTTGCTCCTCCTATGGTACATTTAGATGTCAATAAATGCTAAGCCATACACATCAGACGTGGATGATACAGAAATTCTAGTTAAAAAGGAGTGTGAAATATCAAAAAAAAGCATAATGAGAAATGAAGTACTGGAGTGGCCAACTATCTTGAATATGAGCTGGACGAATAATATCCCACAGACAGAAAGGACTGCAGATGCTGGAAGAAGGGTTCTCACCCGAAACGTTGACTTTCCTGCTCCTCAGATGCTGTCTGACCTGTTGTGCTTTTCCAGTTCCACATTTTTGATTAACAGTATCCTAGGCTGTGTAAGCAAGCCAGTAAGAAATAGCAGATACTCTAAGGATATTTCTTTCAATTCTCATTAGATACGGCCATAGTTCAAAATTATTGGGGTTTGGCAAATGTTGTACCACTATTCAAAAAGGGTGTTGAGTGACAGACCCAATAAGGGCAGACCTGTCAGTTTGACCTCAGTGGTTGGAAAATTATTGGAATCAATGTTGAGAAATAAGATTAACTGCTGCGAGGAGAGGCACATATTAGTCAGGAATAGTAAACATGGTGTTGTTAAGAGAAAGTCAATATTTTACCAACTGAATTACACTTTTAGGAATTAACAAGAAAAATGATTTACATGGATTTTCATAAAGCATTTGACGAGGTCCCATGTGACAGACTGTTAGTGACAGACAAAAACTAAAGCCTATGGATACAGGGGAATGTGACAAGTTGGATCCAAAGTGACAGGAAACAAAAGGTAATAGTTAATGGATGTCGGTTTATGTTAGTGTTCTACTGGGTTCCGTTGTGAATCCTTTTTATTTATTCATTCATGGGATGTGGACACTGTTGGCTTGACCAACATTTATGGCCCATTCTTAGTTGCACTTGAGAAGGTGGTGATGAGCTGCATTCTTGAACCACTGCAATCTGTGTTGTAGGCAGACCCAGAATGCTGTTATGGAGAGAGTTTCTGGATTTTGGTCCAGTGACACTGAAAAAATGGCACTATAGTTCCAAGTCAGCATGGTGAGTGGCTTGGAGGGGAACTTGCAGATGGTGGTGTTCCCGTGTATCTGCTACCCTTGTCCTTCTAGATGGAAGTGGTTGTAGATTTGGAAGATACTGCCTAATTAGGTCCCTTGCATTTTGTGATATAATATATAATAATTGTGATACAATAATATAATTTACAATTAATAATATAACAAAAAATATCATAATTAAATATGGCAAGCATGATTGGGAAATTTGCAGATGACAGAAAAATTGTCTGGGTAGTTAATGGTGAAAAAAATGGTTGTTAATTACAGGAAGATATCAATGGCTTGGTTGAGTGGGTGGAAAAGTGGTAAATTGAATTCAATCTGGAGAAGTTTGAGGCCATGCATTTGGGGAGGCAAAAAAAGGGAAAACACAATGAACGGGAGGATACTGACACTCATTTAAAAGGAACCTGGATCTGCAAGGCTACACAACACGTACTGGTAAATGGAATTAGAATAGGCAGCATTTAGTCAGCCAGTGCAGATATGATGGGCTGAATGGTCTTTTTCTATGATAGAAACTTTCTACACTTCCATTAGGAACACCTACATTTTCATATTGACCGCAACGGGCCAGCGGAAGAGTTTCTACAATTAGCCTCAGCCTTCATGGATAGAATTTAATCATAGTGGACATGGTTCTTGAGTTAAGGACGAGAACTTTTACCAAAGTTCCTGCTCTTGATTACTGTCAGTGAGGGGCATGCAAACTCTCAATTCAGGGTCTCTCGTGAGGAATAGCTAATTGGGAAGATATTAGAGATTAGCAGTAGCTCAATATGAGTGAGGACAGAAGCGTATAATGAAAGTAGTAATGATAATCTTTGTGATTGTGTCCCTGAAATACCTATCTGAAGCAGCATGTCCAAAAGATTAGTGCAACTACTGTTAACAATAATAATTATCGCTATTGAAACTGTGATGGTGATAATGGAGATTCTCATTGCATTAACTATTTAAGAGAAAAGAGACACTGTAATAAAAATAATGAGCATACATGAAAACATTACAAGGTCAATATTGTTAGTGATACTCGCGTAAGTTTTGACAACTTGAAATTAAAGTAGAATTGATAGTTTGGCTGCAGCACAAGAGGAGGTCTTTGTGTTTTTGCTGGCTCTCTGCAACTGCAGCTCACCCAATCTCTCATTCCCCACAGCCCTGCAATTTTTTAACTTCAAATAATTATTCAATTCCCATGACTCTCTGCATCTGCAGCTCACCCAAACTCTGTTTCCCCACAGCCCTGCAATTTTTTTAACTTCAAATAATTATTCAATTCCCTTTTGAAAGACATGATTGAATCAGCCCCTTCACACTCTCACACAGTAGATTCTTAAACCCAAACACTTGTTGCACAAAATAAGCTTTCTCTCATCTCATCTTTAGCAAAATGAAAACTAATCACCTTAAATCATCATCCTCAGGTTCTTGACACCTCTGGCCAAGGAACAGTTCCTTTCTTTCTACTCTGTATTGTTCATGATCTTAAATATTTCTATCAAATCTCTATCGGTGTTTCCTTTCACTTGTATAATTTTTTTTTGAATTGCATTCTTGATCACATGAAATTATTGATACGTTTTGAGGTGCAAACAGCAATAAGAAACTATACTCACAATAAAAGAAATTCAATCTCATTAGCAAATGTGTTGTGGTCATTTTGTGCCAGCATCTCTCAAAATGCTGATGTACCGAAGTTGTGCCTGCTTGATCGGGTTGCTATTTATCACAATCATTCAGGAAATTATCGACCATTTCATCTGTAAATTTACACTATTTAGACATTGCCTTTCACTATGAAAGATGTTCCTTTTAACATTTTGCCAACATGCATAGCCCAGTTGTTGAACTGCACATTATATTCTGGATTGCTACACTGCCATGCACCATACAGTTTAGTGGAAAACCAACAAACTTCCATCCCATTAAACTGGGTTAGATTCAAACTAGGTTCCAGATTAGATAAAGTGTTCCAATCCACTGTGACCCAGTCATCCACATAGACCATA